TGGTATCTTCTCAGCTAATTCTCTCCCCTCCTGGGAGGAGGAGGAGGAGAAGGAGATTTATGCTTATGCTCACCTGTGTGGTACTGTGTAGCATTCATGGGATTTTCCTATTCTCTGGTATTTTAGAAGGTATCTCGGTTTGCTACTCACAATTTTCTTTTTCCTGTACTGGGGAAAAAATTAAATTGGTAGTAAGAAAATTGGAGAACTAACAAGTTTGGTGACTCTGCACTTAGTCTCCCTGGATCACTTTTTGTTTTTCACCTGTAAAATGAAGAGGAAATAGATAATCTCTTAAAAGCTCTTTTAGCTAATAACCTTAGATACCTTATTATATGAACTTTGAACTGTGTGCTAAAGTTTTTGTTAGGGATTTGCTGTGGACTGAATTGTGTCCCCACAAAATTCATATGTTGACACCCTAACCTCCAATGTGACTGTATTTGGAGATAGGGCCTATAATGAGGTAATTAAGATTAAATGAGGTCATAAGGATGAGGCTCTGATCCAATAGGATTAGTGTCTTTATAAGAAGAGATATTAGAGAGCTCTTGTGCATGCTCTCTCATGCTGAAAGCTCAGAGGAAAGGCCATGTGAGGACAAAGCAGCCATCTACAAGCCAGGAAGAGAGCTCTCACTAGAAACAGAACCCTACTGGAACCTTGATCTTGGACTTTCCAGCCTCTAGAACTGTGAGAAAATAAATTTCTGTTGTTTAAGCCACCTAGTCTGTGGTATTTTGTTATGGCAGCTCGAGCAGACTAATACAGGATTTAACCATATTCAGTACATTTTTACAAATTGAATCTGTAATTTATATAATCTGGGAATGAGATATATAGCTTCTTTGTGTAGAAATAGGACATGAAAGGTTTTAACCTGGAGGTGGAAGGACAACTCCACCGTTTCTGTTTTTCTCTGAGATTCTAGATCCTGGGGAATTATGGTATTGAGTTGGATGTTATGAGTAATACAGTTAGATTTTTGAGCCAAGTTGCTGAGGAACCTGAGTACAGTTGAGAAGCAATCATTATTTGATGGCAGAAGAAAACAACCAAGCTAGAGGGCTTCTCTTTTCCTTTATCTACCTACAGTATAAATAACCTTGCTGAATACCACTGTTATAGTAATTAGTAATGTATTTATGGGGACTGATATTATATTGTTAATGTTACCACTTACAAATCTCATTCTAAAGAATCTAATTCTAAAGAAGAGCAAATTGCCTGAGTGGGGACTTGCACATGTCTAAGGCTATTCTTTAACCTCTGTTTTTCCCTTGGTATGGCAGGGGATATAGGATTTATGGTAAAATATTGTTAAGTAAATATACCTTTTTCATAGTTGTACACCTCTTCCACAAACATATTTCTAATCTGTTCTGGTCTGCATCAATAGAATAGTCTTAAAAGAGGGGCATAGGCAACTTGATGTGGGCAGTATCCTGTTCAGATTTACATTGCTTTTCTGTAGTTTTGCTGATTCCATGCAACTACATTTCCCTGAGAGCTACTATTGACTTGATGGTATTGGCTGCCAGTTGGCAGGGAGGATTCACCTAGATTAGGTGGTTACTTCCTGTTCCTGTCTACAGACTTGGAAAAATGGAGAGAGTTTACTTTCTTCCAAAGGTTTCTCAGAACATAGTGGTACAAAATGTTCAGAAGTAGGAAAATTCCGTAAAAAGCTATGTTTGGTTACCCTCAGATAAACATTTCCATTAATATTTCATTTCATTTTGAGCCCCTTTCTAATTTGTAGCATTTTTTTCAATGTATGTAGGTGGCCTCAAACCATATGGTAAAAGTATTTTCCAAAAACATTCAATCTTTGTCTTACTATGAACTGTTTTCCTTATTTTCTTGTCATTGAGAAGCTCCTGTCAACAGGCTCAAATCCCTTTTTCTACTTTGATCTGTCTCTGATTATGCTGATGTCTTATGTCCTTTTGGGAACTCATACATGTTTTAATAACACATTTAAGAATGAAATTGCCTATTTCTTCCCTCTGTGTGTTGGGAGACGAAAAAAATTTTGTTGCTATTTTTAGATAATATGTATTGAATGTTCCCATAGTCATTGCCCTGTACAAAGTAATTATCAAACACAAGATGCAATCTCTTGTACTCAGTGATGTTTATTCTGTTTCAGTCTACTTTAAAATGCTTAAATTCCCAAGTTCTTTTCCCCATTAAATGTTGCTTCTAGGTATTGGGGGTTTTTTTAAATTCCATATATGTGTTCTTTGTAAAAGACGTTGGATGAGCATTTGTAAATAAGAAATTAGAGTCCCAGATTTTGAAGGAATAGTTTTATTCTGTCTACTAAAAGTCTGATTTCTTCCATCTTCAGGCATCTGTCCTAAACACAGTGGGGTTGTCAAGTAGCAATCCCTCCCATCTTTGACACAGATACTTCCCCGCAATACCAACCCCCAAAGTGGATGTTGCCTGGGGCAGGTAAGGAACAGGGAGAGTGCAGAAGAATCTGCATCTGCTCTACCTCTTATGAGGGTTCTTGAGAACACATATTCAACAGTACCTAAAATTAATAAAATGTTAAGTCTGGAAGAGACCATAGCAAGTTATTAAGACTGTCAGACTACTTCCTGTTCCCTGAAATTGTTGTGCACTTTTATATCTTCATGTCCTTGCCTATTATGGAGTGCCTTTTCTCCCAGGCTGCCTAGTAAAATGCAGCTTATCTTCTAGTACCTTACCCCCTGAATTAATCATCCCTCTCATCAGTGATAGCATAGCATAATAGGAAACTGTATATAATTTCCTCCACTATGTGTTTGAATGCCCTCCAACGTATTTCATAATATAGTGTTTAATTGGTATTCTTTTTCTATTTACCCTAAAAATTTTGACTGTTTGCTCGAATAGATAGGATTATAGTAAGATTGATATACATATATATTTTAGAGGGATAAATAAGAGAATTGAAGGTAAAGTACTTTTAAATGCCTTTCATTTCTGGTGTTTTTGATCAAAAATGTATTCACTCACACTTTTAGGTTTCTCACTCAAATCACTGAGGAAAAGAATGTACAACTTACTATGTTATTGAGAAGCCATCATGGTATTTTAAAGACATGTTATTATATTACAGTATGATTCACTTTGTTATGAATCTGCCAAGGGACCTGTCTTATGTAGAGATATTTTACATAGGCGTTGTTATGGGAGAGAATTGATATCTTACTATCCATATAATGGTTGCTAACGTTGATTCTACCAAATCAGAAAGTGAAAAATGAAGAGGTGAAATTCATTTTTAAAGATAGTGTGTGAATTTTAGTATTTGTGTGAGTAATAGAAGAATTGGTGAGAAAATAATTCCATCTAATTCTTGTCTTCCTGATCAACTATTAGTCAAGAGCAATTAGAGAAAATTTCCAAGTGGAACATTAGAATCTTATCTCGAGTTATAAGATGTTTAGTACATCTGATGTAGAAAGCAGAAAACCTGGAATTTACCTTTTGCTTTTTATTTTAGTACCTTTAGTGTAGGTCATCCAGCACGTGAATACTAACATCGACAATAAAGTTGGCCTTATATTTTAGTCATCTTCTTCAGTGTCTCTGGGCATTTGGCTCTTGGAAGAAGGTAATTCTTAGTTCTGCTCCCTGGTATTTATACATTATTTATTTGGGAACCTGTCTGCCATTGTGGCTACCTGTCAGAACTCAGCATATTTTAAATGTTTGAGGTGGGTGATTGAAGTGCTTGAACAGGAAGTCTTTTCACCCAATTGCTGATGACTGACTAGAGAGTACTTTAAAGAATGTGTTCTCTAACTCAACAGCATATTATAAGAAATATGTGAAATATGTTATGTCCCCCTAAAATTTAAATTTTTAGAAAGTAGAAATGTATTGTAGTATACCAATAATACTGTGAATGCTTATATTAACATGAACCATCCCTAGCTATGGGATATTAATCTTTTTACAAAATGTCCTAAAATGTGTAAATTAATTTATTTCATAAAAACTGACATATAAAGTTGCTTCTATTTAGAAAACAATTGGTTTTAGACTTAACCATTAATCGAGGCTGTCAGTGGTTTGCTGCAGAACCAGACATCTACTGTATTGAACTTCATTTAAAACTACATTACCTTCTTGATGCCATTTTATTATAATTGATACTTTAATATTTGATGCTTGAGAGATTATATTTATTGGCAATAATTTTATCTAAAAGTTAAAATAAATTTTCTGGTTTCAGAGTATTCCTTTGTTAATGTTTGCTGTTGCCCTTCGCCTCTCTGAACCCTACTCATTTTTCTAGGCCAAACTGAAGATGACCGAACTCAATGAAATTTTCTTCTGTCCCAGTAGCTTATTTTATGGCATTTTGGACATGGTTTATAGCACTTACTTCCTTTTGCCTATTGTTAGTTAGCTTTGAACATGCCTGCCTCCTGTACTGGCTCCTAGAGAGCAACGACTATGATTCAGGCAACTTTGTATCTCCTGTAGCACCTTTCACAGTACTTTGCCCCAATATATTCAGTAAGTATTTATTGAAATTGTTGATTTTTCCCCTGATTTTCTAAACTAAACTTACAAATCAATCAGTAACTTGAGGTTTAAATGAGGAATCAGACAGTCAGCCATGATGGTTAAGGCTCTATAGTCAAGATTGCCCAGATTTGAGTTCCTATTTCATTATGTAATTAACTCTGGGACTGCTTCATCTGTAAAATAGGAATGCTAGTAGTAATATCAGCTGGCTAGAGTTGTTAATGAGGATTAACATAGATAATTTGTTTAAAACATTTATTGTGCTTCCTAACATATAGGATACACTCAATACAATGTAGGTATAGTTATTGCTAAATGCACTCCTATTGGGCTAGACTCAGCCCCTTGAGGGCCTGTCATTTGGTCTTTATAGCTCAGGTACTTCACTTTGTATATAGTAAATACTCAATAAATACTTGCTTGAGTTGAACTGATTGATTTACCCTATTTTTATCTTCCAACAGCCCACTGTTTGTAACATGGAAGATTGGTCGAGACAAAAGATTGCGTGGATGCATAGGTACTTTTTCTGCCATGAATTTGCATTCAGGACTCAGGGAGTACACACTTACCAGGTGAAGACCAATTTTTGTTACCTCTGCTTCTACATTAAAAAAAAAAAAAACTTATGAAACTTGAACCTGATACTTTAACTCCTTTTCCTTTAGTAAATTGTCAACATTCTTGACTCCTTTCATGTCAGATTTTTTCTTCTCTTCAACCATTTGCCTTATCTCGGGTAAAAGGTTATTGATTTATATTATCATAATATGAAATACTGTGATTACATGTGTTCTGCCATAGATGTTGTGAAGTGTTTTTTTTCTTTCAATGGCCAGCTTATTTTGTATAACTTGAAAATCAATGACCAAATGTCCATGAGTTACTAAAATATTATTTCCATAATAAGTCATTGGGATTTCTCTGTTAGGCTTTTTAAAAATTGTTAATGTCTGTTTCATCTGACATATTTCGTTACACTTTTATGTACTTTTGAAATTGAAGGGAGAACCTAGGAAGAAAGTAATACCACAGCCTGGCAGCATAATCATTCACATTCACACTTTACTCAGAATTAATTGTAGCTTACTTATTTTGTTTCATCTAACATGAGGATAAAGTGATGAATGCCTCATTATAGTTATTAAGACTTTGTTCTTAATTTCTGAACTCACAAAAAGCTGTCTAGCACGCCATCTGATTCTTTTGGTTCACGTTTAGATTTCTAGCAAATTGTGTTCCAAAATTACTTCAAAAGAAGAAAATTCCTTAAATAATAAGCTATTAGTAAAGGGATTTCCTATTTTTGTTCATATTTCAGGGTGATTATCTGATACAGTTTCTATAGTTGTAATATGCACAGTGTCTGTCCAATGAGAAATTGGTCCCTGCTGACTATTTGTACTTGTGGCAAGTTGCTAAACCTCCAGTAGATAAAGTAGTAATTACAATATTTTGTTCTATATATTTAATAGAGATGTTAGGGGAATGAAGTAATAATCAATCACTACTTTGCTTCAGGATTAACATTGTGGAACATTCATTATTTTACTTTAGAATTGCATAAATGCAGTTCATAGCATCAGTTAATAAAATGCTGTAACTGAGTTTAGTATTCTTATATGTGAAGATGTAGCTCACAGCTGCAGAGTTTTCTTAGCTTACAGTCCTGCCCGGAAAGAAAAGCAAAGGCTTGGAGGGTCACGTTCATTCTTAGATTTTCACAGGTATTAGAAATTGGGTGTTTGGATTCCATTAAATAACACACAGGCAGTAAAGGGGTCAAAACACATATTCTGGAAATAGCTACAGCTTGCTGAAGATAGTGTAAATGCTAGTCTAGGCATATTAGATTTTTTTTTTCCTGACATGAAATACCATGGGCTCATTTGGGACTTTATCAAATTCTGCCAGTGACTACCTCTTTGGGACAGGTGCATATGAAATTACTCTTTTAATAGCTAATCAAAGCAATTTATTATACATTTCCTAAAATAAGTTGTTATGAGGAATAGTGGTTCCTTGGTAATGCTTGAAAAAAGGATTCTATGGCGAAAAAAATTTTGGAAACAGTGGTTAAACAAATTTAAATAGCTCTGCTCACTGCAGGACTTCTCAGAACCTTTTATGTTAATAGTGTTGTGAATCTCTAAGAGAGAGAGATACAGAATGCAGCATGTCCCAGACTTAAACTTTTTTGACTACAGAAAACCCTTTTATCGTCCCACCCCGGTGTCTTATGCCATTAGTTTTCCAAGGAACACATTTTCAGAAACACAAGTCTGTATAAAATTTCCATTTTTCTTTTTTTTTTTTTTTTTAAAGATTTTATTTATTTTATTTTTTCCCCCCAAAGCCCCAGTGGGTAGTTGTATGTCGTAGCTGCACATCCTTCTAGTTGCTGTATGTGGGACTCGGCCTCAGGATGAACGGAGAAGTGGTGCCTCGATGCGCACCCGGGATCCGAACCCGGGCCACCAGCATCGCAGCGCGCGCACTTAACCACCAAGCCACGGGGCCGGCCCATCCATTTTTCTTTATAGTTGGGGAGTCTGAGTTGGTAGTATAGACACCCTTTGTACTTTCTAATGAAATTGTGTCAGAAATCCTAGTTTCAAGTATTATATACTTTAGAAATCCTTAGTAGTCGTAACTAGTACCGATTTGGTTTTGTTTAAAGAAAATATGAAATTCTTTTGCCTACATTGATAAGAAATATCCAACTTTTCTGGTCTTGTGGATCTGTCTCCTAGGATAATTAACAGAAGAATTACGGTATTTTTTTCTGACAATAATGTGATTCTGAATGAATCATTCAAATAGTTGAACTTGGAAATTTGCCTACATTTGTATATGTGGTTACCCTCATTGTAGTCTATGGCTCTTCCTATTTACTTTTCAACTTTTTTCTCATGTTTCTGTACAACTTCTTGAAATTGTATGTAGCGCAGTAGAGAGATGTGTGTGTTTGTGTGTGTATATACATATATACATACCTGGTCTTCTCATTTTTGTTTGGCTTAATTTGCTTGGCTCAATATGATAATAAGAATGAAGTTATTTGGAAAAGATGAACAAAAGAAAACAAGTCTTACGAAATACAGTTGCTCTTTTTTCTCAATTCATTTGAGAGTCAAAACAGTCGAGTCATTTAAAAAAGTTGCAATATACTGTATTTCAGTCCAACAGGGCACTTATCATTTCTACGTGCTGTTGTTGTTGTTATTATTATTAATACCTACCATTTATTAAGAACTTACTGCATGTCAGACACTGCAGAGGAGTTTATATGCATGGTCCTCACAACAACTTTTAGGTATTAATATCCACATTTTTAAAATGAGGAAACTGAGATTTACAGAATTTAAGTAATTTACCCACTCACATCTAGTAAGTGGTAGAACTAGGATTCAAAACCAGTCCATCTGCCTACAAAGTCCAGCTCTTAACTACTATACTTAAGATAAGACAAAATAAATTTTCCTGAGAATTTGTTTTGCAGCTTTATCACGGAAAAAATGAACTTGAAAGCAGGTCACTAGAAATTGTATAAATTATGGATCAATAATAATTCTTCAAAAATTCTAGTTAGTAGTTAAGATTGAAATTTTGGAGCATTATTTTAAATTCTGGAAAATCCGTAGATGAGATTATAAAAAGTATATCACTCAGGGTTGTATAGACTAGTCAGAAGAAAATTGACTTGGATTAATATTGTAGAAAAGGATAATGCTTATTACAAAACTATACTACTGTATGCTATGAAATTGTATTCTTTGGCTACATGTAAGTAATGGACTAGACTTCGAGAAGAATACAGTTTTCCTTAACATAACAATTGGTGATTCTTGGAGTCTGGTCTTCCAATCTTAAAAACCCATAAATCACAAAATTTATAAATGGAATCAAATTAACTTGGGGGTTGGGGATAAAAGGGAAAGGGAGGAAGTAAAACAAAAAATAAACAGTGAAATTAAAGACTCACCAGGTATAGGTGTCTTTTTTAAAAAAAAATAGAATATCTGGTTTTTCACTCTCTTCGTCTGTGATAGACTGTTGTTTAGTTTTCAGAATGTTACTCAGCTATACCTTTTATTTTTTTATTGTAAAATATACATAACATGAAATTTACCATTGTAACCAATTTTCAATGTACAGTCCTGTAGCCTTAAGTACATTGACATTGATGTGCAACCATCACCACCATTCATCTCCAGAATTCTTTCATCTTCCCCAACTGAAACTCTGCACCCACTAAACACTAACTCCTTATGCCTCCCTCCCCAGCACCTGGCAACCATCATTCTACTTTGTCTCTATGAATATGACTCTTCTAGGTATCTCATATAAGTGGAATCATACAGTATTTGTCTTTTTGTGACTGATTTATTTCACTTAGCATAATGTCTTCAAGGTTCATCCACATGTAGCATGTATCAGAATTTCCTTCCCTTTTAAGGCTGAATAATATTCCACTCTGTGTACCTACCACATTTTGTTTATCCACTCATCCATCTGTGGACACTTGGGTGACTTCCACCTTTTGGCCATTGCAAATAATGCTGCCATGAAATGGGTATACAAGTATCTGTTTGAGTACCCTTTTTTCTTTTAAAAAGCTAACAGTTTTATAGAAGACAATGATCTAGTTTGTTTGAAGTCTCTTAATCTGTAAAACCTAAATCTAAAAAATGACCAGGTACTTTTTAAATGTCTATCCTGGATTAAGTTTTTATTTATAAACATGTTGCTTTAAAATTTAAATACTTGTCATAGTCAAGTTGTACGTTCTCCTAATTGAAATTTTGATTTCAGACTGAAATAAAACATTATAAATAGCCTGAAGATTTCCTCCCAATTGTAAAAATGCATAGTTTCTGTGTAGATAGCAAGAAAACTGTGAGAATTACAACATAGAACGATTAAATAGACTCTTCTTTCCTTGTCCTTGGAGACTCTGGGTAAAAGCAGGAAAGACTATAGCAAATAAGAAGTAGGAGGGAGAGCACAGAATTATTGGTAGAAGTGTATTCATGGTGACAAATTAAAGTCCACAGATTACTGTATTTATTAGTGGTCAAAACTTCAATGTAGAAACATTCTTTTTCCCAATTGAAGAACAAGAATTTCTAGTTTTTATCAAGCTACTTGCATTTATGGCTTTTATATATTAGAAAGCAGAGAAATTTATTTCCTCTCTTTTAGTACTTTATATACTTTTATAGAGAACAAAATAATGACTAATATAGATGAGCACAAACATCTTAGTCAAAGAAGATTCTTTAACATTTTGGCTAATAAATTGTCCAGCAAAGTGTAGGTCTTTTCTTTATGTAAATTCAAGTTGGTAGTAGTTTTTTCTAGAATATGAAGTGATTAATAGATGTGTTCTTATTTTGTAAAACAGGAATGTGGTGTATCATCACACTTAAAAGGCTATCTTTTCTTATTATTTACTTTGTTATACTTAGACCTCTTGTCAATGAAGTAATTATGCCAGTGCCGGCAGTGTCTGGAGATTGATTCTGAACTATGCTACTTTGTTGCACTGCTTAATTCTGAGAAATTAGCAACA